GCTATTCTCTTTGGAGGGATCAGGATTCAAGGCCAGAAAAGGGCAGCTTTCAGAGAGGTTTGAGGGACTCTGCTGGCACTGTAACAAACCTGGGCACAAGAGAGCTCAATGCTGGCAACTTCAATACAGGGAAGATGTCACGACAGGAAAGGCTGCTACCCAGAAAAGTTGTTGGAACTGTGGAGAGCAAGGACATATGAGGAGCCAGTGTAAGAAGAATACTACCAATAAGTCAGTCTCAAGGAAACCAGTAGTGGTTCGTGTTGATGAATGCCTATCAACTCCAATTGTGAAAGTCCCAACAGCTATGTGTAAAATGCCAAGCACACATAATGTCTATATGAAAGGGAAGCTGGATGGCCCAAGGAAGCCCGATGCTTGTGGAAGCAGTGGAAGACCCATCTAGGCCAGCAAATGTGAAGATTGGAAGGTCACTTGTGGCAGGTCATCAAACAGTACCCATAACAATGGCTAATGTCTCTAAATATGAGCAGACATTTAACGAAGGAGCATTGTTAAGTGTGGGCCAAGAGGTGGAGCCAGTCAATGTTAAGGCAGGAAATACAACCATAAAGAAAGGACATCCTCTCCCAGAACATTTAACTGACCTCTATAAGAAGAGCATAGCCCATTTGTCATCATCACAGCCTCTTCAGGCTAGGGAACTTTTGGCGAATTATACAGACATCTTTTCAAAAGGAGATCATGACCTCGGCTGCACAGACCTTGTGGAGCACAGAATAAACACAGGCAATCACCGTCCAATAAAGATGACTGTACCAACCTTGGTACCTCTGTGCTGGACTTAATGTAGGATTCAAATTCAAGAGCTCTGGCCATTGCGTCCTGCATAGTAGAGGGGTGTGCTTGCTTCACTTGTACCTTTAGTTGTGGACTGTCCAAGGCATGTACGAACTGAACCCTCAGCAACAACTTGAGGAGATCGGGTGGTGCAGTTGGGTAGGCTTTGTGTGCCATACTTTCCAAGTCCTGTGCCAGCTTTTGCAGGCTCTCCCCTATAGCACAGACTCTTGTCTTAAACGTAGCCCTGTAGACTTCAGACTGATTTTGGGTTCCATACCTGAGTTCCAGAACCGCTATCAATGCTCTACAGTTGTGCCTGTCATCTGCTGACAACTGTCCAAGTATTTCTAGTGGTTGACCCTTCAAGCTTGTTGCCAGATATACTGCTTTCTGCTCCTCTGTCCACCCATTCATTTCTGCCAGTAGCTCAAATTGTACTCTATATGCTTACCATGGTGCCTTCCCATCGAATTCCCATGGTCTCCTTCGTACTGGATCACTCCTATTACTGACATTCATATCTGGGATGTGACTTCTAACAGGACTGAAGATGTCTGCATTAGGGTTTAGCTGTGGGGTCTGGAAGGGGCTTGTCATTGTCTGGGGCTGATTAAGTCGATGGTTAATGTATCCTCCTTGTATAAAAGACAATAAATCATCCTTAATGTATTCAATTCGCTTTTAAATTTACTAATGTTTTCCGTTTGTACTTCTTGTTTCCTTTATTGTTTCAGTTTTGCAACTGCTGTTGTCTCTCTTCTTGTTTCTTTTCTTTTTCCTCCAACAACTGCTGTAATCTCTCTTGTTTATTTTGCTGTTCCAGCTGCCACTGTTGCAGGTTTTCTTGCAACTGCTGTTGTCTCTCTTCTTGTTTCTTTTGATGTTTTTGTATTGCTGCCATCAAATCTGCTAAGCTGTAGTTTGATTTTCCGCCTCTCGTTTCCATCTTCTTCTTTTTTGATTTTGATTTTCTATCCCACTCCTGACACCAATTTGTTATGTTACCAACTATTTCCAAAGAAACTTTAGTGATACAAGTCCTTTCTTAAATAAAACTGGTTTATTCTCTCTGAATACAACTTTGCAATGCACTTAATTTCCACAGTCGCGCTATAACAAACGCTATAATTCACAACGAACGTCTCACGTGCTCGACTCAACAATACTCTCCCTCTGTCGGCAGTTCAATTACACATTGTTCCCGTCGCTTCTTGGCCGGTCTTATACATACAAGACTACTCCATATCTAGTAGTCTCCCGATACTTCATGAACGTTCTAGAAGCGCGTGGCGTGTTACTAGCATCACGTAACCTCTGCTGTCGTAACAGTACTTACAAACTTGATATTTGAGAATGATTAATGAACACAAAGAAGTCACTAGTGAATAAAACTGTACTTGTTTTTAACAGTTTAAAGTTATTTCTAAAATTCCTCTTTACAATTTTAATGACATAGATTATTAGGAATCAAACAGTTAACTATGGTTGAATCTTATAATATTTATAAAAAAATTATTTTTTTATAGAGACGTATGATGATCTCTAAAAGCAAATGTTTATGATGTCTGTAGAAACAGTACTGACATTTCTAGGAATGTAAATAATATCTAAAACCGAACTTTAGAAGCTTCAAGCCATTATAGAGACATAAGGATTTTTTAAGAGCTTAAGTTTCTGTAATGATTAAAAAAGTTATCTAAATTTGATAGACATTTTAAACTTTTTTAAGATGATCTAATGTATACAATATATGCAGAATGTCAACTTGTATTTTAAATATCTTAAAACTTCTCATAACTATTTTAGACAATGTAGCTGACTCAGCTTAACAACATGATAAAGAGTTTTCTAGGTAAACCTCAAAAGACATAATGATAAGCTTTCACATATCCACCTCTTCAGTAATGTACCCACCCTTGACACACTACAAATCCTCCACCAATAGTCACATGACTATCTCCACAACAATAGAACATACAGCCTTCTGCATCACAACAATCTACTATATAAATACTACCAACAATAAGAACTTATTACATTAATTCTAACAGAACAGCTGCCTAGCTATGGGCTCACCCCTATCACCATTACTCAGTAACCTCTTTAACATCTTCAAAACAGCTACTCTATGCCTAAAGATATGGCTCAGATATGTTGATACATTTGTAATATGGCCATGTACGACAAATGAGATTCAAGATTTCATGAGCCACTTGAATGTGCAACATCCCACAATACCATTCATGATGGAAATTGGAAAACATAGCAAGCTCCTATTCCTTGAAGCAGTGGTTACTAAAATACATAACTTACATACACAGAGGTTTACAGGAAACTCATAAATATGCTTAAATGTCTTAACTATAAATCAAACCACCTCAGCATTGTAAAGACAGGTGTCATAGACTGCCTAGTTTCAAAAATGAATAAGACTTGTAATACCAAAAAAATTAAGAAGATGGAAAAAAAACACCACCACCACCACTAAAACCCTTCTTAGCAATGGATACTTAGAACACTTGATAAAGAAGATGAATACTTGAAATAAACAGGAAAAAAATTAAACACATACAGCCATATTATCCTACATCAGAGGTCTCTATGAAACCATACAGAGAATACTTAAATAACATAACATCAGAATAGTATTCAGAAGCCACAATGCAATGCAAGAGCAATTAGTAAACACCAAACATATAAAGACCACATGAAGAGGAAAAACACAACTCAGAGCATTCCTTATGAATGTAGATACCAATACATTGAATAAATAAAACAACAAAAACAAGAAAAATTAGGATTCAGGAGGATCTTGTTAAAGAAAATAATCTCTGAAGTACTACTTAGTAATAATGATCTCTCTTCAATATCCCATTATGCTAGAGAAGGTCTTACAATAAACTCTAATAGTACTGAAATAACAGGTTATAAATGATACATGAAAAAAATAAATAAAAGAATTCTTCTACATCCACCTAACTCATAACACACTCAGTCAACCCAGCATAGATGTTGGCAAAATCTGGACAATCTTCTTGTCAACATTCATTAGTTAGTCTAATTTAAACTCTTAATACAGAAGACTCAAGTTAAATTAATGAAGAACAAAACTCTCATCAAGAGGGTTGAATCCCAGCCACTATCACAGAGAAAATAGTCATTCTCAGGACTTTCCTGAATATGGCACCAGATTAAGCAGCCAAAATGTAAGGTACAAAAATAATTAATAACCAATCACCATAATCTCATTGCAAGCACTTGACTACATGTAGTAATGTAGTTTGAAACTTAAATTTGAAGTATGAAAACAGCATAAAGAAGAGTTATCAATAGCTGATTTTGTAAAAAATCTCTTCCTTGCCACCTTTGTTCTTAAAATGCATAAAAATACAACATCCATGAAACTTACTAATATAGACATATTAATACACCTTCAATCATTTTTCTTTCAAAGTACATTTTTGTCATACTTTAAACAACAGAACAAACTTTTTTAGATTATTTTTAATTATGCTAAATGATTATGTACAAAATTATGATTTAGTAATGCTATAGCAACATCATTAGAATATACAGTTTTGAGAAGTAAACTTATTTACCTATCTCCCAAAATAAAATACTGCATGTTTTACAGAAAATGAAACTACTTTTATATTGTTAAAGAAAATAATCTCTGAAGTATTAATAGCTAAACAAAATTATATTAGAAGTACAGAAACAATTAATATAATTTTATCAAATGAAAGTTTCAGTGAAAGAGTAGATCAAGTAAAATTTAAAGAGAATGAGTAGTTGAAACATTAAGCCAGATAGGTATAACAGTCAAGTGGAGATCAATATGAACTGTATGAACCTACAACTTATTAAGGGTCATAAAGCAAACCAACCCAAAACTTATGTGGGGATTAACAAGTACAAGCCTGATATATATATACATAAACCCAGAATTCACTGTGAAATTGTAGCAGACAAAACCAATGAATTACCGACAGGATCACCAATTGTGGAAGCCAAGAGGGGCAACTGCCCCTTTCCCAAAAAGATTAAAAGAACTTGACAATAATATACCAGTTTTATGCTTTTATGTTGTGTGCTACAAAGCTACAACATAATCCAATGTCAGGTGTCAAATAGTTGCATTCTAATATTTACTCCCCCCACTCCATAATTAAATCTCAAATCATACTGCTGCTTACTGAGGAATGTGGAGCTGGTGTATAGTTATGTTCTAATGAAGGCAAGTTCTGTGAAGGATTTACTTGTAGAAGACTCTGTGGCTCTGAAGGGTTAAAAGATGGTCTTCCCCATCCTTCTCGCCAGGACCATAACCCCATCTTGTAGTGACTGATGATGCATGTAATGAGTCCCAGCATCAAAACGACAGCTATCACAATGATGACAATTTGTATAACAGACACTGGAAGAAAATATATCAAAATGTTATTCCAATTAATGTTAGTACCCTTTAAAAATAAAGGTTTAAACTATCAAAATCTTTACTGAGAATAATGAAGAGAAAAAAGGGGAGAGAAATATAGAAGAAACCTAAAAACAAAGTTTGAGAAAGAATTTAAGAAAATATTATTAAATACAAAAATGTTTATAAAATAATTCAAATAAGGTGACTATCAAAGGTAAAGGACCCCAATTACACACATACTTGTGTAAGTTTAAATTAACACAAATAACTGAAGTGCTCAAATTATATATCTTTCAACTTTTATTAACTTTTGTGGTTGCGCATGCTTTCCTACACATATTCTCTATACATTCACCAAAGAAAAATTGATTTTTAAAAAGATTTTAAGAAGTACCTTTAAGTACATTAAAGTTCCTCATAAAAAAATTATATAAAGTGGAAAGTTAAAAAAAAAGATATTCTTGTAAGTAATATATTTAACAACCAGATGTCCATTCCTACTGCTTCTTTTAGCTGTAGATTGCCAGTTTTACCCAAAATAATTGAAACTACTTCCATTTGCGGATAAATATATTGTAAAGCTACAAAATTTCTTGAATGTGTAACTTTTTTGTTAAATAAGAATTTAATTAAGTATTGACTACATTTATTTTCAATGTTCTTCAAAGGGCTAATTTATTCAACAAAAAGATACATCTAAAATAGCAGTCAATATCAGAAGAACCAATTCACACGTGCTTCTACACATATAAAATATAATTTATCAAGGAAATACTGTCTGTTAAACTTAAACTTTAAAGCAAGTAAATATTCTCTTTTGCTACTTTTTTTTTAGTGTGAAAGGCAGAGAGAAGGAAGCAAGTACAGTTGAAACATACATATGAAAACAATTATCAAATAAATTTCTATAATAAATAAATTTCTATGATAAATAAATAATTATAATAACTATGATATAATATAAATGAAATATAATAAATAAATAATTATAATGTAATATAAATGAAATATAATAAATAAATAATTATAATATAATATAAATGAAATACAATAAATAAATAATTATAATAAATAAATTGGAGTTAGTATCTGATAAAATATTAGTATACAGTTTCGTTTTTCCCTGGCAGTTATTTTGATTTAAAAGTAATTAGCTCCTAAGAAATAATCACTAATCAAGGGTGCTAGAAGATTAAACAATCCTCCTTCACCCGGTTAGTATACAGTGCTTGAACTACATACCTTTTAACTTTTAGTTTTAATTAAGTTGAATGGTAAACGCATAATCATATAACATTCACTGATTAACCAAAACGCATATAACTCTGATGTTCAAAGCTATTTTATGACGAAAAATTAGAGGTACAGTAGCTCTTTATGAAAAGTACACTGCTTTTCAAACATGAAATATGAGAATAAAGATTGTTGACACAGCAACCCTTTCTGCTCAAAGTTTTATTTTAACCAAGACATACCAAGCAATCAGTACAGCGTGACACACACACTGAATTACTTGTATCCCTCCGCTCCATGTGGACAGAGTGCAGATAGCCTATTAAGTAAATTTGCGCGAAAGGAAACAAACCGTATTTTATGATATCAGTTATAGCCTAAATACTTTATTAGACATGTTTGATAAGAAAAAAAAGGATTTTCAATTTCGGAAAAAAACACTTCCATATTACCATAATTACAATTCACTTGCTTAATTCAGTTCACATCATAACAGTTGTTGCTCATGAAAACTGATGATATATTTATATATATATAGCGCCAAGACAACTACTACGTCTGCCGTATCCTGCCGTCTTGATGAGCCCTGGAATTGGGCGAAAAGCTTTGTCGGCACTATATACGGGAAATGTAATATGGTTGACATGTAATAGCATATTATTCTTTTTTTTTTTCACTCAGGGTTCTAAGATGTATTAATACTTCGACTAATGTCTTTGTCAGTGTCCAATGTAATACAAAAACTGACTACAAAGGAAACAAAATACGCTTACATGACACACCATGAGGCCATTTTCATAAGCACACTTAAATGTGTTTATTTATTTAAGCTATTTTAACACACTCCGTCTCACTCTATGTACATCATTTTCTTGTCGTCTATATTTACTAATTTTATTTTTCATATTACCCAATAAATCACTTAAAAATGCCTTTAGTTACCATTCATACAAAAGAGCAAATTTTGTGCCATACAGATGAAACATTTTAATCTAAGGCTTGTTACCCCATATGCGATATCATGTGGTTTCTCGATTACTATTACCACTTATAAATCAAAGCTTAACTTTATACCACTTCTCCTCGGTTTCTGTATTACACTGTAACCTGAAATTCGAAATATTAGTATATTAAAGTATTATTCTTTTTCTGAAATATAAAGTCGTTTCTTTATCATAAAAATGTCAGAGTGTCTTAAGAAGTAATCCAACTGAGATAATTTTCTTTGAAAACAAAATTAATTTGTTTTCTTTTTTATTTAATAAGATATAAAATATGAATAAAAAACATCTACACACAGTCTTAATTATTTACAATTCTCTAACTAGTGTGGCCATCTATTGGTAGAAACAGTGCCTGTAGCAGTACATGTACTTGTTAAATCTCAATTTACACTTGAATTTCTTTAACAAGCTTAAATACCTTAATGCTTGTACATTAAAAAGTGCAGTATGAAAAGATGCCAAGTGAGACACATCTTCCTTCACGAGCGTTTCATTAAAACAAATGTATTATTATCCAGAGACACTAAAATTATTTCTCAATACATTTTCTTTACAAAATCTAGTAGAATTCTGGTAGCCTAGCGCACACTGGAGTGTAAACATGTTTAATGAAGAGAAACTACTAGTATCCAGTGAAAATAATCTATTTTTCGATGTATCATCCAACTGAAAAAGTCCAGTCTTAGCAATAAAACGTTTAGTGTACTTACTTGTCTTCAGTAAGGTGATATGTTGAGGAAATAAAAAAAATTACAAGACCCTGGATCTTTCTCTTCATTAATTTTTTTGGGTAGATTAAAGCAAAAATGATAGGTACAGAAATATTACAAACTTATCATTTACCATACACAAAAGGAGGGAGGTGTAGAAATGAAACTGAAAGGTTCCTTAGATAAATTTGCTTGTTTTAGAGTAAAGCCACACTGAGCTAGCTATCTGCTGTATCCACTGCGAGAAATCGAATGGTTTGTAATTAAGCACAAAGCTACACAATGGGCTATCTATGCTGTGCCCACCGTGGATAACGAAACCCGGTTTTTAGCGTCTAAGTCCACAGACTTACCGCTGAGCCACTAGGAGGGCTGTAAACAAGGATGTGCTTTATTAATTTTTTGTCTTAAGAACTTCATGGTAAGCTTATAAAAATTCTCTGAACATTTTGTCTTGGAAAATTTTACACAAGTATAAGTTCACAGACTTACCACTGAGCCGCTAGGAGGGCTGTAAACAAGGATGTACTTTAATAATTTATTGTCTTAAGAACTTCATGCTAAGCTTATAAAAATTCTCTGAACATTTTGTCTTGGAAAATTTTACACAAGTCCAAACTACACACGATGTAGTCCCGAGAAATAAATATCTATGATAAATTGTGGCAAATAATCACAGGTGTTAATAATTTCAGGTTTATCAATTATATGTATTTTCTCAGTTTTTAGAGTGGATTATTTACATTCATTGCTATCACTTACGAAGCTAGCTAATTCGTTCTGCAAGATCACACTGAAGTGATACCGAGAGAGCCTTACGATAAGATTACATTTTTTTATCTCTGAAGTTATGCTACTTTGCAGCTCAAATCACTATAGACAACATACACAACGCTTTATAAGGAACAAGCCCTTACTTATGACTGTTATATCTAATTAAACAATTTATCGTGAAATGAAAAAAAAACACAAGCACCTTTAACACTGGCTGGCTGTAGTTTAAATATCAAGCTGTCGTTGACGTGGTATATACTGCTTGTTGTAGTAATGTTCATAGCGAAAACTTCGGTCATGACTTAGGGCAATGAGGTGCAGTGGCATTGTGGACCAGTGGAATAATGTTATTAGATAACCAGGCTACTCCACGAAAATTGTCGAAGATACACACTTTCGTAATATTCACATATCAGTCAGGTCTCTGATAACATCTGATTGCTACTACTACTAACCTCAGCCTTCTTTCTAACCACAGTCCACACTCAACTCAGTCTTCTAGACTGATCAGCTGGCCATCACACGCTCATTTGCGGTGGGCGAGTGGGCCGCCAATAGGCACCAATCCCCTGCTATACGACACATGTGATCAATATATATATCTGAAGACTGAGCGCACTCACGGCTCGGAGAAATCATTGTAGCGTGTCCTTAGTCGCCAAGACAACTGTCAAGGATGAATATACTACTCATGCGCACAGTCATAGTCTAGCTACCTGGGTCTTACTTGCTACAAAACACTAGCAGCATTTCAAGCTAGCTAGGAACGCCGCGGTTCAACAGAACAGATCAAAATACCGTTAGGTGTACGAAGCTGTTGCACTATTCTGTGCGAGTCTGATTTAAAAGCGTTTCATTTGAGCGTTTAAAAGTATAAATAAAATCATATTAAACTGACGTCACTGACTAAGATTTGTGCAGACAAGTGTGTCCACACGTATCTGATTTATCACTTGCCATATATGTGTCTCAGAAACGATATCAATGACATTTTGTTGCCAAGGTGCAAAATGAGATGAAGAACATTTTATAAGTCAAAAGTAACGTCAAGGTAGTCCCAGAACCCGTATAATGCACAGAAGAGACATATTTCTATTCAAATACGTCTTATCTTCCGAAATCAACGCTTGTTGTAAACATGCCATCTTTCGAGATCAACGCTTATTGTAAACACGCCGTAATTCCGAAAACAAAATCTAAACTACGTCAATTTTATAGCTGCCATTACCAAGAATTCTTCAATTTGAAGCTAGTGATAGTTGTTTATGTTTCGTACTTTATATACTGGTGTCCTATAGTATTCGCTCATACTGTTTGCGTGTGTATAATAAAGTTGGTATGATTCAGCAAAGTTTCCCTTTCAATGTTTTAGTTTTTCAAATATATGATATATATATATATATATATGTGTGTGTGTGTGTGTGTGTTTGTGTATAGGAAAACTCGAATACAGTTTCATAGAAAAGAAGGGATCGAGTTTTCTTATACATATTCATCTTGAAGTGAAGCCACCTTGAACTACAATTTCTATACATATTTATGAGTGTGTAAATATGAAATGTAAGAACTAGAAATGGCCACTTTAACAAGTTTGATTATTTCAACTTAATTCTGTGTTATTTTACAATTTACGTTGTTCAGTGGGATACCTTTTTATCCTACTTAATGAAATTGGGCCCGGCATGGCCAGGTGGTTAGGGCACTCGACTCGCAATCTGCTGGTCGCGGGTTCGAATCCCCGTCCCACCAAACATGCTCGCCCTTTCAGCAGTAGGGGCGTTATAATGTGACGGTCAATCCCACTATTCGTTGGTAAAAAGAGTAGCCCAAGAGTTGGCGGTGGGTGGTGATGACTAGCTGCCTTCCCTCTAGTCTTACACTGCTAAATTAGGGACGGCTAGCGCAGATAGCCCTCGTGTAGCTTTGCGCGAAATTCAAAACAAACAAGCATAATACATACGTTGAAATGCACACATGTGTTTGTTAACAGTATCTGGTTTTCTACAGAAACGTGAAAGCGTTTTAATTTTTTCTTTGTCATATGTCACTATGTCATATTTAGTCATTATCTAAACATTCCTTGAGAAACTTTCTAAGATAGCGCAGATAGCCCTAGATTAGCTTTGCGCGAAATTCAAAACAAACAAACAAACAATTAATGAAATTGTAAAAACAAAACAAAACTAAGTGTTATATGACTCTTTTCTTGGCATACCACACAAAACAGTCAAGTGACCCACGTTGTTTCTAGTATGGATCGATTCTGTGTTCTTATTTAGAGTTTGTAGCTACGAGTTCTGATTCAACTTTGGTTTGAGTTTCTGGATGGAAACTCAAATTAAAGTTGAATTCTAATTTGTCAGAAATTGAAATTCTACGAACTCTGACTGGATTATTATCTGAAGTCGCGATTTGCAATTGCACTTTTTGTTTGGACTTGCAATGTATGTGCTAATTTAGATTTTCTTACTATATCATCTAGCGTGTAAAATAATTAGGTAATTGATTAAACTATTTCAAACCTTTTATATAATGCCTTTGCTGCACTGTGGAATTTATTATATTGCTATGTATTATTATTATTATATAAAGTAGTAGTTAAAAGTTTATAGTTTAAGTACTGTCGAGAAGTAGTTAGACTTATGGTCACTCACTCACGAAATTACCTATATGTGAATTACACCCACATATACACTTAGTGGTTAGTTTGTCGGACTGTAAATCTGAAAGCCCATGGTTCGAGCCCCGTTGCTGCATAATCATATTTCGCTCTTTTAGGGCCGTGGGTGCATTATAAGAGTGACAGTGAAATCCAATTATTCGATTAGAGAAGCCCAGGAGTTGGTGGTATATTGCTGAGTTCAAATTTACGGACAGCTAGTACAAACAACCTATGAGTAGCTTTGCGTGAATATCTAAAACAAATAAACATCCATGTATATACGACAATTGAAAATAGTAAGATAGCGTGACTTGTTTTTCAGGACGTCCTGAAGTTAAGTGAGGTAAACGCTGGTTTCAGAGAAGGATCTGTTTGTCACAAGTAGTCGGTTTCAACGTCTAATCACGCCCATTTCAAAACTATTCGGAAATATTTTAGTGTTTTATCAAATATGTCTTAAACGCCCGTTATAAGGATATAATTACAGCTTACATTTCATAATATTATCAACTATAAGTGTCCATTTTCTAGTGATGGCCGTTACTCCAAGAACATTAAGATAATCAGTATATCTGTACCCTTTCATACTGTCAAAATAAATATGCTTATTCTTCTTAATATTATATATAATAGCAGTATTTGGTAGATAGGTTGAATAATATGGGTGTTGGGCTAAGTATTCTTCTACAGTACGTGTTTGTGACTTGTTGGCGATAAATTGGAAAATAAATGAACAGCATTCACTCCACGTGTTTTCAAAATAATATATATATATATATATGTATGTATATTCGAACTAGTTAAAAGTATGTACAACAAATTCTTTATACTCTGGAGATAATAGGCATATCATATACACTATATATATAGTTCTCTTCTTCTTGTCAAAAGTTCTCGTAGGCCTATTCAATTGCTTTAGAATTTCAGTTGACAAGCCGAACTATCTTTCTTTATTTCTGTTTCTTTTGTCAAAGTGCACTCAAGCTGGTTCAATTACTTTAGAATTGACGGAATAAACTATACTTTGTATCTCTTTTAAAACTGTTAGTTTTCCCCTAACATCTTAATCGTTAGGCCTTTCACTCCTATGGCAGTTAACTTTACATTTAACTTTCCTTGACCGAACTTCTACCTCCCGTGACTTTACTTTCTTGTCTGCTTTGTCAGTCTGCTGTTCCCACTCGTCTCACACTATTTATATATTTCGCACTTAATCGTCTGCTCGACTTCTAGAAATCTCTATATCATCGACATCAATAAATTTCACGCGACGCAATTTCTAATAATATTTGATTTTAACTCTTTTATTATAAAAAAAACAAACAACTAAACAATTATGAAATATTAACTCAAAAATAATTAATTAATAATATCTACACTAAACAGTCTTTTATATTTGACACACACAATGAATAACCCCGAATCTCATGGGCGGCATGTTGCGTGGACACTTGCAGATGAAGGTAAACGTGAATCATTTAGAACGTACGTGAGCAACTATTCGGTGAATTCGGTAACTAACTATATCCGGATACGAGTATAACTATCGAAATTGAAAGGACTATCGTGATTTTTTTCACAATACACATTTATTATTCCAACACGGGAATTCACGTTTTCATGCATAATCTATTTATGATAAATAAATTGGAGAAGAATTTGATGTCAGTATAAATTAAATTACATTAAGCTAGTAGATAAAGAATTTTTGTGTATATTCTTTATCAACAGCACTGAAAGACAGACGATAAAGTGAATCAATCCATTATCTCTCATTTCCAGCTGCAGAAGCTTATTTTGACTTTTAGTGAAAGCTGGATTTTTTTCTTTGTTTCTGCAAGAAATGTCTTCACTGGGCTATTCATGCAATATGTAGACCAGTAAACTTTTGAAAGAAAATGTCATTTCAATGTATTGGAATTGTAATTACCATATCAACGAGGAAATGCTACTGTACGGAATAGATATGATTACCAGAGCATTTCGAAGGATTTGTTGTGTGCAGAATCAATATGCGTTTAGTTTTCTTTCGAGTAAGCCTTCTTTGCAAAGACTGTTAATGTTTTACAAAATAAAATAACGAATTTGCGTTTTTTGAGATATACTATTGTTTCTCTGGTTTTATATGCATACGCAGAACAATGATGCTCTACAAAAGTACACAGACATAAAAACTTTCAGTGATATAAACCAACTGAACAGTTTGGGTTGTTAGATTATTCGCACAAAGTTACACAACATATCTGCGCATTGTCTTTCTCAATTTTGAACTGACAGACCGACAACTCTTGGGTCATTCTTGTTAGACGGAATAGCGGGATCTGACCGTCCCTCGCAGCACAAGCACGGCTCCAAAATGTGGAGCGCGTTTTTGTCGGCAATGGGCCGCGAACCATGAACCATAGGATATACACAGTCCGGTAACGCTAACTACTCCAAAACGCCAGGCCTGTTAACTGTACACTAGTTATTAATAAAAAGCTTCACATAAGTTCCACTTTCAAATTGATGACATAATACATTCAACAGGGAATACTTTAAAGGTAAAAAAGCAAAAGAGATTTCCAACTTTATAGAACTTTGCATGAGATCATGGGTTAAAATGTTGAATTATTGCATTTCGCCATTTTACGACTTCATCTAACAGTTTTGTTTGAAATTGAATTTTGTTTTATACAATAAACAGCTCATTAGGAAACTGTTTGCATGCGCGCGTAAAAAAATGAAAAATAAAGAGGAAGGTCAGTACAGGTGACCCTTAAACTTAAAGACTGTCTTGATCAATCTCAACGTTCTCCTTAGACAAGTTTCTCTCCTATGATACATCTACTTTCGTTTGTAATCGATCAACAATAACATTTCATAAAAGGATTTACTTATCAATCAATTCTTCTTAAATCGATAATATAGGTTCAGAAAGCTTTTGAATTTATATGTTTAACGTTTGCACAACTATTTCATCTACAACTACTGAATAAAGCAATGAGGCATTTTCACTCCTGTTTCACGCTCAAATTTCTCATAATTTCTTTTAAGCAATATCGAGGCAAATTAATTACCCAATTCCCACTTGGGATGTATTTTACACATAGTCTTTACCCAAACATATTTTCTGCGTATTTTTTTTACATGTTGTAGCACATCCACATAAGACATACAGTAGTTAGTTAGTGTGCAGGAACTGAGGGATCATAGAACATCTGTTGTACTGTAATGGTGTTATCCATGTGTAACACAAAGTCCACAGAGCTTCTTGTGTTGCACAAGCGTACTCGTATATGTAGTATTAACATTCCAAAGGCCGCAGACAAGTTTTTCACTTT